TTCACTTTTGGTTGTCTTATTGCCAATATGTGTACTCATGTCAACTGAAGACAAAACAGTTTCATTATCTTTTCAATCAGTTGTTGCGATTATCGACAATTTGACCTCAGCTTTGGGCAGCAAAATAGGAAATTGCGGCAATATTTTGGAGCTACAAGTACTCACACAAATACATCACGTCGCCTGAATACCCTCCACTCCCAGTATCCATACTTAAACAGACTCCCATTTACAACCAGGTGATTATCTTCTTTGTTAATTTACTTTATTTTCGTGTTTAAAATTTATATAATTATATTAATACATTTAATTCCGCTATAGATTTAAGCCTATAATTTGGTACAAACGACACAACACTTGGACAAAACAATTATTTCAAGCATTGATTAGAATTATGTCGAAATCAAAGGAAATGTCAATTGAAAACGAAAAGTAATTTTCACAGAATAGAGGCATTTTTGAATCAAGAAAACCTAATTTTTGAATTCATTTATAGGAGCAATATGTTGGGCGCCAACACCAAGCAATCGGCCCAACACTTCAAGTCGGGTCTCACGAAAGACAACGACAAGAAGGATAAGGACAGCAATAAAGGCAATCCTTGGGGACCTCTATTCAAAAACAGAGATCATTTCAATTCTTTGCATAACTTCTAAGTGATACTTTGTATCTCTATATTGAATGTACAACTAAACCAACATTTAATCCCAAACTAGTTTTTTGTATCTCTTTTATTAATAGATCTTTTAATGTTATAAATAATTGCTTTTAATATATAAAACTTTGAGTTATAATGTATTTTCGGATAATTATTTAAAGTAGTATCCAATATATGATTATTAGTTGCATTCGGTTATCAAACAAATGATTGAATAAAAAAAAGATTATATTAAAAAATGTAAATTATCCTATAAATACAGTATTAATATAAAGCTATGAAGATTTAATCGAGATACTTATCAAAGTAAATAAAAGGTAATTATTGGAAATGAGATGAATTTGGGAGAAAAGCTAACGGTGCGACTGAAGGCCTTCCGTGAGCGCATCGGAAACAGACATTACATTCAGACAAACAATTAATTAGTTTAAGACAATCGTGAAGTTTAAGGGGGTCTCCAAAACGTATGGCTCCTCTGCAGGCCTTTGTCTGCAGTCTTTCAATTAGTTTAGGTGTGAGTCGACTACCCGTCCATACGTTGTCACCATTCATGCCATTAGAGCAGTCATTAGCCGTTTGTTTGGCTATAATTAGCGCCTCTTCTATGATATCAACCATTGATTGCATGTCTAATGAGTCCAAAAGACATTCAGGAATTTGTGTCAAACAATAGCCATCCCTTCCGTGGGATCTCTTCATGAGTTGAAAACCAGTCAAACGTCGCACTCGTGTCCCGTATTCACCGCAAGTGTCGTCCAATCCATCGAAACGTATGTTTATATCGATTGGCGGCAGAACTGCCACTGATTTGATATTTCTGTGTCTGTCGTAGACATCGCTCAGAATCTTCTCATATCTGATCCGTTCGTGGACTGCGTGCTGATCAAACACCATCACCAGTGACCGACCCCTACCATCCCGGGTGGTGCACAGGATGTACTTATTGTCCAACTGTCCGATCACTCGAACACATCCGTCCGATGCGATCATATGTTTGTCTAATTTGATCGACGAATCGATTCTCATGTCAGGCCTCAGAGACCACTTCATTGTCTCCATTGTCTCACTGATATGTCTTTGAGTGGAGTCCTCGAGACCGGCATTCATATCATCCAAAGTGAGTCCAAAACCATTTTCTTTATGTAAAACTTCTTTTGTTTGACTTCTTGTGCCAAATGTTTGGCAAAAAGTTTGCTTTTCTTTCAGAAATTGGTTTTGTTTTTCAAACTCTTGTATCGATTGGTAACGAGAAAAACCAGTTTTTCTGTCAATTATTACATACTTTGCTGAAGACTTGTCGTAATAAGTGATCACATCTTCGTCTCTATTATTCATTTTTAGACGAAATCAGTTTTTATACAAAATTCAATAATTTATTATAAATTCAGTGATTATTACGTAATATTTCTAAACATTTGATTATTTAATGACTTATTGCATGGAAACACAATTAAAATCACAATAATGTTATGAAAATGTCTTAAATTCACATCATTTTAGCGTTGATTATAATCAGTATTTCCATGGATTCGTGCTTTGAATACAAGTATCTATTAAGACATTCATGTGATTCAGTGATACATAACTTATTAGGCAATCCACTGCTCATACAATAGATTGACATTCAATTCATATTCAATTTATGCAAACTATTTATACAAATCGTGTGAAACACTAGCTTAAGAAAACCACCTTTCATAGATTACTCACTGGTTATATGATTAGTTACAAATATAATAACCAGTGTCATTTTACGCTAAGTTATTAATAGGACACTTTTCAACTATGATTCATATACTTGGTATATTTAATTAATAATGAATTAAGTAAACCATATATTGTTTGGTAAGTATTTTTTATTGTATAGATTCCATCTACTGCTAAATATCGATACTTAATCTATGAATGGCTCCAATATTTATTGAAAGTTTTTTTTGTAACAAATACCGTATGACTTGAGGCAATCATAAGATTTTTTGTTAAATGTAAGCCTTTTGGTGGAAGTTTTATTTCATAATAACAAAAATCCCAAACATTTAATTGAAAGTCTTTTTAAACTTTCAATATCTAATATTTAATGAGGAAAATAAATGATTTGAATATAAAATAGCTAGGATTTTAAAGTCTGGAATTTTGTTTTATTTGAGTTAGTAATAATCTTTTAAATACAGTAGAATTGAAAATATTTATCTCTTTTTAAGTTATAAATAAGTTGTGGGAATTATACACGACATGAATTAATTAACTAAGAAACTTATTCACTAAGAATACACTAAGAATTTAGTATTTTATTATTAATTATCACTTAATTATAAATTTTAAATTGATTGTGCTTGAAAATATGACTGAATGTTTGCCAGAATCCAAAAAATACATATTTATGTGAAAACTAAACCAAACATTGACTTTATATCTTACATATTGTTATGATAGAGGAAAGGCATAATAAGTGCAATATTGCCGCCACTGATGCTGTAATGCATATAAGAATACAGCAATCGATTAGGGATTGAGTGATCCATAAGAAGCCGATCCCAACAGATATGAGAGAAAGTAATACTGACTTCTCGTATGTGAGAACCCATACTAATAATCAAACGCTTTTTATTTACCCTCCAATTATAGACTGCTTTTCATCAAAAAACAAAATATATAAAGCGAGAGAAGAGTCAAAATTATCGATCAAATGAAGGGAACGAAAATCGATAATAATATGGACAACAAATTCTTGTGTTCATCACTAGTAAGACATACACAGAATATCTGAATCCAAAAACACATTATAAGAAACGAAATGTTTGTTACAAAAAACACAACACTTTTTCTCATTCTTTACTAGAGTTTGAGTGAAGGGGTCATCAGAATAGGACAAAGAGGTTACTAACTTGTACTTGAGACTATTTTATAGTAAGTTATTAGTTGAGCTTGCTCTACTGTTAGTTAAATTAAAATTAAATTAAAAATAATTTAGGTAACACTTTTTGATCATTATAAATGTTATGGCAACATCTGATTTCCTGAAAACTCTGGTAATCACTCGATATAGTATAACAATCAATCATTTGTTGGTCAAAGTGTCCAAACATTGGCCTCTAATGTGTCCTTTTGTTTGATTTAAGTACCAGAATCTGACAGATTTATAATCAGTTAAATGTGAGTTAATCTCAACAAATCGCTAAAATAACTTAATGTCATTCGGAAGTATAGCTATAATACCATAAAATGCGAAAACGTTTAAAAATTATATAAAAACAATAAAAACACATCAAGTGACACGCATATAAACTGTTTGCATAATTTTTATGTTAGATATTTAAACATTTCAAACACTTTTTAAGCGATCGATTTTAGACAACATTTTAAAAAATAGAAAACATTTTATCTAATGGGTTTCTAAATGTTCATAAAAGTTGGATTTAAAAACTATTTAACTCACAATATATAATATAATTGCAAATAATTTCTCCATAAAATTATTGATTTCTAAATCGTTGAAAATATTCAAATATTTGAAAGAAACTACTTTAAATTTTAAATTATTTTTTCAATTTGAATATTTACGTGATTATCATTTACATAAGAATTGCCAATAAAATAATTAATAAGTTAACCTTCAGACCAAATAAAATTTAAATTTAAATTTTGCCTTATGTTAGAATCATTAGTATTTTTAGTATATTAAGAAACGATTGATTTTTAAAATATTTTTAGTTTTTTTTATAAGTACTGTATAAACTTTATACTGTATTATAAAGAATATCGGAGAGTTTATTTTAGAAATATAAATATTTGTTTTTATATCATAAATATAAATATTAAAAATATTACTTTTTATAGACTTATAAATATAAAGAATTATATTAACAAATAATAATATTATATAGTTTTTTTCTTTATATTCAGCCAAGTTTGATACACAAAATAGTAACATTATTTTAATCATACAATTTCTAAAAACTGTTTTAAGTTTTATTGTAAACATGGTTTAATATTTGTATTTTAATATTCAAAATATTTATACATTAAAATTATTCAAAGTATGTTTATATAAAAAATTCTTTATTTTGCTGCCCAAAGCTGAGGTCAAATTGTCGATAATCGCAACAACTGATTGAAAAGATAATGAAACTGTTTTGTCTTCAGTTGACATGAGTACACATATTGGCAATAAGACAACCAAAAGTGAAATGCTTTGCGTTTAGTTTTCAAGTTTTCACTTCAATGCTGAACTTCTCGATAAGAGATTCAATAGACTGTTTTTGGCCAAGAATTTGCAAACTAATAGCTTTTGTGTTGAATACTGGGCTCAACCTTAAGACTTGACAACAACTTTCAAAATGACTTCTCTGTACGAAATGATAAAACTTGAATGCGATTAATGTGTAAATGAAGTCAAACCTAATGTGTAAATGAAGTCAAACCTGATTCCGAGCACAGATGCAGCACAGGATCGATCTGGTTCTCAGTCACTCTAATTGGGTGCTTACCTACCGCTCAGGCATTATATATCTGGTGTACCTATTTCTATGGTGTGATCAACACGTGGACATCATATTCTTGTCCAATGTCTGTCATATCTGTATTTAATTTGAGGCCATCAATGGATTACATGTATATTAATTAATGGATGCTTGAAGTCACGTCAAGGATTTTTGTCAAATACCTGCTCTCTGTACAAATATATATGAATATATTTTTACTTGAAAATTGTTTTGACAAAAACCTTTAATTTTGAGAGATTTTTAAAGACTTCTTTTTTGATGTTTCGTAAACAAACATATTCTGCAGTCATTGCCAGAAGTTATTTGAAATTTATTAATTTAATGACAATTTAGTCGAATAAATTATTTATTTTTATTTTATTAGAATTTTCAATTAGATTTACCTTTACTTATCGTAAATTGATTTGAATATCTCTTTACATTTACTGGAAATAAGTAAAAAGTATTGAAATAAAACTAAAAATTCTTTAAAATATATTAGTGATAAGAAAATATACACTCCAACATATATTAAAATCCTTCCTATGAATGACATACGTGTCTCTCATCTCATATGTGACCACATTTTGTATTCATTCAAAACTTATTAATAACTTTTGGAAATAAAAATAAGAACTCAATACCTTATTGGGGAAAGAGCACAGGTATCCACTTTTTAAATGCATTAAGAATCTAGTGATTGCCTACCAACCTTAAAATAAATCATTTTTAGCTATTCAGAATAGACTATTTATTATAGTAAATATTTTATTAATTTGAAA